GCCTACACCATCCAAGCTTGTGTAAGGACACTCTACGATGATGTTCCCGTAATGATAAAATCACTTAAGGACGCATTTCTCGGAACTTATTCCTGTTGTTAAGCAACACATGACTTAACATGTGACTGTGTATTCAGAGTTGTGCAACCACCACCACAATCAATTTTAGAACATTTGCGTTACACCAAAAGAAACTTGTGCTTTTACCACTTACTCCCATTTCCCCCATCCCCACCCTGACCCCAATACCATCAATTTCCTTTCTGTAGGCAATCACTACTCTACTTATGTCTGTATGGATTTACTTATTCTTCACATTTCATGTAATTGGAATCACACTACATGTGGCCTGTGTGACTGACTTCTTTCACACAGCATAATGCTTCCAAAATTTATACACGTTGTAGCATGTATCAATACTTTATTCCTTTTATGTCCAAGTAGCATTGCATTGTATAGATATGCCACATTTTGTTTATTCAACAGTTGATAGACATTTGGGTTGTTTCCACTTTTGGGGTGTATAAACAATGCTGCTGTGAATTCTTGTCTTTGTTTTATCTTTTCTTTCTCCTAAATCATTAATCTCTGCCTTTCCATGGATCTTTCAAAGTATGAATATGCTGTAATGCATTTCAGGTTAATAATAAACGGACCCTCTTGACACCACAAGTCACTTTAGCTAAAACTCCATTTTACAAATCTATGTCAAAGTCTTTTTTTCTTTTGTAGACAGAATCTTGCTCTGTTGCCTAGGCTGGAGTGCACCCATTCTGGCTCCCTGCGGCCTCAAACTCCTGGGGTCATGCTGCCCTTCCTGCTTCAGCCTCCTGAGTAGCTAGGACTATAGGTGTGTACCACCATGCCTACTAACTTTTAAAATTTTTTGTAGAGACAGGGTCTCTCTCAGGGTTGCCCAGGCTGATCTTGAACTCCTGGCCTCAAGCGATCCTCCTGTCTTGGCCTCCCAAAGTGCTGGGATTACAGGTGTGAGCTACTGTGCCAAGCCCAAGAAGTTTTTATTAGTGATGGATTAGAGTGGGAGAAAGAGTGAATGGAAGGTGACGAAAGCAAGATAACATGAGCAGATGACTCAAGAATTATGACTTTGGGCCAGTGTGGTGGCTCACGCCTGTAATCCAAGTACTTTGGGAGGCCGAGAGGAAAGGATTGCTTGAGCCCAGGAGTTTGAGAACAGCCTGGGCAACATAGGCTGTTGCCTGTGTTTTTTTCTCTACAAAAAATTAAAAAAATTAGCCAATTAGCCGGGTGTGGTGGCACGTGCCTGTAGCTCCAGCTGCTTAGGAAGCAGAGCGAGAGGATTGCTTGAGCCTGTAAGTTCAGGGTTACAGTGGACCATGACTGCGTCGCTGTACTCCAGCCTGGGAGACAGAGAGAGAGAGAGACCCTGTCTCTAAAAACAAAACGAAACAAAACAAAACAAAACAAAACAAAACAAAAGAAACCCGAAACTATTATTATCAAGCCTGTTAATTATTTCCACATTGCCAGGCCCAGCAAATATTCCGTGTTCTCATCTTATCTGACCTTTCAACAGCTTCAGAAATAGTTGACTACTATTTCTTCCTTGAAAAATTCTCTCATCTAGGCTGTCCTAACATAACAGTCTTCTTGTTTCTATAACATTCCTGTGGCTGTTACTTCTTAGAGACTTCTTTTTATAGATCTTTCTCATCTACTCAACCTTTACATTTTGTTTCTTTGGGTTTAGTCTGGGGTCTTTCTCTGTCTAAATTCTCTCATTAAGTAACCCCATCCTTTTTTTTTTTTTTTTTTTTTTTTAATATAGACCTTATTTTTAAGAGCAGTTTTAGCTTCATAGAAAAGTTGAGGAAAGTACAGAGATTTTCCACATACCCTTTGTCCTCACACGTGAGTAGCCTTCCTCATTATCAATATCCCCCACCAGAGTGTACATTTATTACAATTGATGAACCTACATCGACACATAATTATTACCAAATCCCATCCATTTTCATGGTTTAAAATGCCATGTATATGCAAATTATTCACACATTTATCTCTTTAGTGCAGATCCTCCCTATGAGTTTCAAATTTTTAAACCCAGTTGTGTACTCGACATCCTCCTCCTCAGCATATCTTCTGGACATATCAAACTTCACATGTCTAAAATGACCCTTATGGTACTCCCCAAGTCTCTTGTCTTACTCTGCCCCTCTTCATCATCTCAGTGAATGGCACCGTTAGCTTCTTGATTGCTCAACCAAAAACCTAGGATTTATTCTATTTCTTCTCTGTCTCCTCTTTTTCTTTTCTCCTTTCTAACTTTATATAATGGAGAATTTTGAATATACACAAAAGTTGGCAGAATAATATAAGATACCCCCATGTATACATCACTCATCCCACAACTATCAACCCACAGCTAATCCTTCTCTGTCCACATCCTTTTCTACTTTCTGCTTCCTTCTCCTGTGTGTCATTTTGAAGCAAATCCCAAACATCATGTCATTTCACCTCCATCTGTATCTCTCTATAAAATATATACAACTTTCTTTTCTTTCTTTTTTTTTTTGAGGCAGAGTCTACTCTTTTGCCAGGCTGGAGTGCAGTGGTACGATCTCGGCTCACTGCAACCTCTGCCTCCTGGGTTCCAGCGATTCGCCTGCCTCAGCCTCCCGAGTAGCTGGGACTACAGGCATGCACCACCATGCCCAGCTAATTTTTGTATTTTTAGTAGAGACAGGGTTTCACCATGTTGACTAGGATGGTCTCGATCTCTTGACCTCGTGATCCACCTGCCTCGGCCTCCCAAAGTGCCGGGATTACAGGCGTGAGTCACTGCGCCCGGCCAAAATACATGTAACTTTCAAGTTGCTCCCAAGTCCTGTCAGCTCGATTTCCCAGTTCATTAATTTCATGCATTTCTTTCATCTCCACCGGCATAACCCTAGACCAGATCATGACCCTCCACTGCCTTGCCCACTGCAAGGGCCTCATTAACTGTCTTTCTACTTTCACCCACTGCTTAAAACCTTTTAGTGGATTCCCATTATCTTTGGTACAAAATCTGAACTCCTTACTGTAGCCCAGAAGGCCCTGTGTGATCTGGCCCCTGCCCACCTCTCAGGCTACCCTCCCTTAACCCCATGCTTCAGCCATACAATCTTCTTTCAGTTCCTCATACTCTCACTCCTTTTAACTTCAGTGCTGTTGAGCTTGTCTTCACCTTCCTAATATGCTTGCTTTCTTTTCAGCAGTCCCTCCTCCCTCCTGCCTAGTTAACTTTTTAACTTATTTTTTGGTTCTTGTATCAAGCATTCCTTCCCTTCTTCACTTTGGTCAGCAACCCTTAGGCCAGTTTGTGATACTGTTCATGACTGTTATTATGGTATTAGTGTCTGCCCATGAGCTCCATAACAGTAAGGATTGTGTCTTTTTCCCTTATCACCACGTTTCGCATCTAGCATGGTGCCTGACAAGTAGTAGACACTAAAAATGTGTGTCAAATAAATGATGAATAGCTTTATCACACTTAAGCTTTTAAATTTGTCTATATTTTAATTTAATTTAATTTTATAGATAGGGTATCACTATGTTGTGTAGGCTGGAGTGCAGTGGCTATTCATATGCAAGATCATAGCACTGTGGCCTCAAACTCCTGCCCTCAAGAGATCCTCCTGCCTCAGCCTCCTGAGTACCTGGTACTACAGGTGTGCACCACCATGCCTGGCTTGTCTATATTTTAAAATCTGCTGTCTCCTCTAGCATGTTAGCTCTACAATACCTGAGTATATTTTTCTCTTCATGGTAATATCTTCAGGGCCATTTCTAGTGCCTGTCTCAGGGACCACTCAATACGCATTTAGTAGATGTATTAATAAAAGATCCATATCACTGAGAAAGGACCCATATCACTGGGAAATGTCTATGTCATTGAGGATCTTATACACTAAGCTAAGAGGTTTGCCTCTTATCCTGTAGGAAATAGGCAAGAGTCATATGGTCAGTGCCATGTGACTTGAATGTTCCCTCCAAAACTGATGTTGAAACTTCATTTTCAATATAATAGTATTGAAAGAGGAGGCCTTTCAGGGGTGATTAAGTTGTGAAGGCTCTGCCCTCAGGAATGGATTAATTCCATTGTCACAGGATCGGATTAGTTATCATGAGAATAGGCTTAATTTTTTCTCTGTTTCATGGACTTGCTTGCCCTTATGCTATGGGATAAAACAGCACAAAGATCCTCACAAGACACTGGCAACATGGTCTTTTGGACTTACCAGCCTTCAGACTTACAAGCAAAATAAACTCCTATTCTTTATAAATTATCCAGTCTGTGGTATTATGTTATAGCAGCAGAAAACAGACTAAGACAGTCAGATTGGCCTGTTGGAAACATTTCTCTGATGTTTGATTTAAGGGAAAAGATACTGGAGGCTGGGAGATCAGTTAAGAGATGAATTGCTATGGTACAAGGAAGGGCTAATGAGAAGGGAGGCAATAGTGGTGGGGACAGAGAGGAGGATATTTATACAGGTGTTAGAAAGGTAGCATTGGTTGCATGTGGTGGCTCACACCTGTAATCCCAGCATTTTGGGAGGCTGAGACAGGAGGATTGCTTGAGCTACTTAGGAGGTTGAGGTGGGAGGATTGCTTGAGTACAGGAAGTGGAAGCTGCAGTGAGCATGATTATATGATTGTATTACAGCCTGGGCAACAGAGCGTAGCTGGAACTATAGGCATGCACCACCATGCTAGGCTAATTTTTTACATTTATATTTAGTGGAGTCTTGCCATGTTGTCCAGGCTGGTCTTGAACTCCTGAGTTCAAGAATCCTCCCACTTTGGTCTCCCAAAGTGTTGGGATTACAGGCATGAGTCACCTTGCCTAGCCTGTTTCTAGTTTTGGCAACTTCAATTTAATTTTCTGCACAGTCACCAAACATGATTTACCTAAAACCCAAATGTGCCTTGGTCTTATTTAAAAACTTAAACTGTTTCCTCATTGTCCACAGGCTAAAGTCCAAGATCCTTAACGTGGCAGGCAAGGTCCCTGTGATTGGCCCCTGGCCAACACCTCAGCTTCTTCTTGGAGGCTTCCTCCCTGCTAACTGTTCTCCAACAACCCGGGTGCGTGCAGCTCTTCTCTGACCCAGCCATTTCACTCCGGGGCCTCTGCCAGGCTGCTCCTCTGCCTGATGGGTCCCCTGTACTTCATTTGACTCACTCCTCTGTTAGATTCAGCTCAGGCTACTTTTTTGCCCAGAATGGCTTTCCTGTTGATTCCCCAACTCTGATGGGGATACAGGTCTCTTTTTCCTCCACACTATATACAGATACTATTATTGTGCTGAAGAGATCTGCTTACATATCTATCTACTTATCTTTTTTTTTGAGATGAAGTCTTGCTCTGTCGCCTAGGCTGGAGGGCAGTGGCATGATCTTGGCTCACTGCAATCTCCACCTCCCTGGTTCAAGTGATTCTCCTGCCTCAGCCTCCGGAGTAGCTGGGATCACAGGCATGTGTCAACACACCCAGCTAATTTTTTGTATTTTTAGTAGAGATGGGGTTTCACCATGTTGGCCAGGCTGGTCTTGAACTCCTGACCTCAGGTGATCTACCCGCCTCGGCCTCCCAAAGTGTTGGGATTACAGGTGTGAGCCACCACGCCTGGCCCATATCTATCTTCTTTAATGGCCTGTTGCCTTATCGGATGCAGAGACTATGCCTTATATATTCTTATGGCCCTAATAGATTAATGATCAATAATGTTTGCAGAATGAACAAATGCTGTAAAGGAACCAAATGAATGAATAATGAAACACACATATAGGAAACTATTGAGTGAAATTCAAAGCACTATGTGATTAGTGTACAATATAAATGGGACAGACTCCAAGTTCTGTGGGCTGGAGCATTCTATGGGGGGATGAGTTCTCTTCCCTTGGTAGAAATCAGGGCTGTTGTTACTGTAAACTTTTTTTAAAAAAAATTTTGCAAAACTATAATTGGTATTCCAGAACTGTGCTAATTAAAGTTTGCTTTCTGGACCAACAATATTGACTTCACTTGGGTGTTTGTTAGAAATGCAGGCTTCAGGGCCTCACTTCAGACCTACTGAATCTGAATTTGCATTTTTAACAAGACTCCCTGGTCATTCGTATGTGCATTCCATTTTGAGAAGCACTGTCTAAGAAAACGACTTTGTTGCCTGGGAAAGGATGGAACCTGTGAGCTCAGGGTCTCAGGTCTCTTTTGCTCCTCAGGATATAGTGCTCTGTGGGGCTCAGCGGATGGATGTTAGAGCCGGACTTCAGGAGAAATAGAGCAAGGGACTTGAATCTAGTAGGTGTGACCAGATGAGCAGATCTGGAGACTCAGAACCTCACAGGCAGGGTTAAACAGGAGCTGTCTCGGGACTGGGACTGGGCTTGGCTAAATAGCTCTAAATAGAACTAGCCAAAATCAGGCTGGCTAGGTGTGGCAGGAAGTGGGCCTGGATGGAACTGGTAGGCCAGATAGTCAGAGGCCTGGTCAGCAAGCATGGGTCAAGGCAAGAATCAGATGAGGCAGTTCCTGGGGTTGGGGCAAGGAGTGGGGCTGGCCCTCAGCTCAGAAGGTCAGGGATAGGGCAAGCTTCAGGAATGGGGTGAGGCTCAGAGTTGGGGTAAGGGTCAGAATGTTCAGCGTGAAATGGTTTTTGGCAATCTGAAGCAATATTTTTACATTTTGAAGGGGTGGCTGTTAAAATGTACTGCTTTTTACTGAAGTTAGCAGACTTTCAGGCCTCTGGTTCTAAGGACATCTCACAGGGAGCATGGGGTGAAGTTGAAGAAGAGCGTGTGCCCTCCCAGCACCCTAATGTGCTCTTGTTATATGTATTTGTTGTGTGACTCCTGCATGTCACTCTCGTGTTCAAATACGATGGTTTGATATTTCACAGCAAAAATAATTGAAGCCATCCAGATAGACGTTAGAATGTGAACTACTAAATTCGTAAGAAGTACTAAGACCTCCCTTTTCTTTCTGTCAGGAGAGAGAGTTGTGGATCAGAATTTGGAGCTTGCACCCATGGTCTGGGAGGGACTGAGTGACCCGTTAGAGCTAGTGCAGGCTCAGGAACTCAGTTATTCCTTAGTGCAGTCATATTAGTGTTATCATTTTGCAAGGAATATGGTAAAAATGTTAACATTAGGAGCAATATACTCTTTCTTTCTTTCTTTTTTTTTTTGAGACAGAGTCTTGATCTGTCGCCCACACTGGAGTTCAACAGCACCATCTTGGCTCATTGCAATCTCTGCCTCCTGGGTTCAAGCAGTTCTCCTGCCTCAGCCTCCCGAGTAGCTAGGATTATAGGCACCCACCACCAAACCCAGCTAATTTTTTTTTTATTTTTAGTAGATATGGGGTTTCACCATGTTGGCCAAGTTGGTCTCAAACTCCTGACCTCAGGTGATCCATTTGCTTGGCCTCCCAAAGTTCTAGGATTATAGGCGTAAGCCACTGCACCTGGCCTATGCTTTCTTAATATGAAACTAGATTGTCTTGACTTGATAGAAAAATGAATCCTTGTTATGGTGAGGTGTACTTGCTTCTTTGGTAATCTGTGAGGAAACTGGATTCATGGAATCAGAGATAGTTCCTTGCCACTTTGGACCTGATAAAATCTGGAAAGAAGAAAGATTGTTATTATTTGGCTAAAATCTGAAGCTTAACATGGGTTGAGAGAAAGAGTTCTTCTTCTTCTTCTTCTTCTTCTTCTTATTATTATTATTATTATGAGAGGGAGTCTTGCTCTGTTGCCCAGGCTGGAGTGCAGTGGCACGATCTCAGCTCACTGCAACCTCCACCTCCTCGGTTCAAGCGATTCTCCTGCTTTAGCCTCCTGAGCAGCTGGGATTACAGGCGCCCGCCATCACACCCAGATAATTTCTGCATTTTTAGTAGAGATGGGGTTTCACCATGTTGGTCAGGCTAGTCTCAAATGATCCACCCAACTCGGCCTCCCAAAAGTGCTGGCATTACAGGCAGGAGCCACCACGCCTGGCCTGGGAATGAGTTATTTAGATAAATCAGCAACTTCTAGTCCTTTTACTCTACAATTCTCTGTAATAGTTCCCTGGTGTGACAGGAAATAAAATAGTGTAGATCCACTAAAGCAGTGAGAGTGATTTTTTTTTCTCCCTGAGGAAGCCTGGAGAGGCAAGAGGATGGTGGCAGGGGCTGAGATACGATGGCCATGGTTAGGGAGGGGATGCACCTCTCCCCATCACCTTGGGTTTGCTAGGAGGGGCCAACTTTTGATGCACTGAGCTGCAAGTGGCTCTCCTAGCAAGAGAGAACATAAGGCTGATTAATCTGAATTCTCATTCCCTTCTGTCCATTGGAGAGTCAAGAACTCCCGGTAGGAAGGAAAGGAAGGGTCTTATTATCACTCAGGGAAGCAGAAGGACCATGGCCTGGGCCTGGTATTCATGAAGGGCCTTTGCTATTATTGCCATATTAGATCACACTATCATTGTATTTATTGGTTGAACTCAAAGTTTTGGTTGGTTAAAAACAAACATCTAAATCATATCACTGTTATATTGACTCATTTCTGGCATTTCTTCATTTTAAAATATACCCAGAGGCTGAAAACTAGAAGTCTAGTCCTCTTGATACGTGGCAGGCGAGCCCCAGATTAGGGTTTAGCTTGGGAGGATTCTTTGCTTCTCCCAGGAAAACACTCAAGGGTGAGCCTGTAATAGAAGAGAACAGCTTTATTGAAGTGACAGTGTTACAGCCTAGGTGGTGTTGCAACTCCGTGACTGCTTCTGCAGAGCAGGGCTTCCCCAATGGCAGTGTGCTGAGACTAACAGCTCAGGGCAGTTCTGCAGTCATGTTTACACTTACTTTTAACTGCATGCAGATTAAAGGGTGATTTATGCAGAATTTTCTAGAGAAACGGTAGAAACCTCTGGGTCATCAGGTCATTGCCACGGGAAGGAGCAGTAAATCCTGGGTGTTGCCATGCTAGTGGTAAACTGACAAGGCACACGGGTGGGCGTGTCTTCAGGAAAGCTGCTTCCACCCGTCCCTATTTTAGCCCTTCTCAATTTGGTTCAGTGTCTGAGCCCCCACTCTGAAGTCAAGTCCTGCCTCCTACCTCCATCCCTCTGAGTAGCCCTGCTTGCTGCACCCAGGTGATAGGTAGAAAGTGAAATCAGCTACGATAGTTGCAGAAAGTTACTCATGGTTCTGTATGCTTTGAAACAGTGTGAAAATGACATTCTCCCCTTCTGTTCTTTCTTTCTTTCTTTTTTTTTTTTTTTGAGATGGTTTTGCTCTTGTTGCCCAGGCTGGAGTACAGTGGTACAATCTCGGCTCACTGCAACCTCCGCCTCCCAGGTTCAAGCAATTCTCCTGCCTCAGCCTCCTGAGAAGCTGGGATTACAAGCATGCGCCACCACACTCGACTAATTTTGTATTTTTAGTGGAGATGGGACTTCTCCATGTTGGTCCGGCAGGTCTCGAACTCCCAACCTCAGGTGATCTCCCTGCCTGGGCCTCCCAAAGTGCTGGGATTGATTACAGGTGTGGGCCACTGTGCCTAGCCTGACCACTTTTATAGATTCCACATGTAAGTGAGATCATGCAATATTTTTCTTTCTTTCTTTTTTTTTTTTTGAGATGGAGTCTCGCTCTGTAGCCCAGGCTGGAGTGCAGTGGCCGGATCTCAGCTCACTGCAAGCTCCGCCTCCCTGGTCCACGCCATTCTCCTGCCTCAGCCTCCCGAGTAGCTGGGACTACAGGCGCCCGCCACCATGCCCGGCTAGTTTTTTTTGTTTTTGTATTTTTTAGTAGAGACAGGGTCTCACCGTGTTAGCCAGGATGATCTCGATCTCCTGACCTCGTGATCCACCCGTCTCGGCCTCCCAAAGTGCTGGGATTACAGGCTTGAGCCACTGCGCCCGGCCAATATTTTTCTTTCTATGTCTGGCTTATTTCACGTAGCATAATGTCCTCCAGGTTCCTCCATGTTGTGGCAAATGACAGGATCTCCTTTTTAAAAGGCTGTATAGTACTCTATTGTGTTTATTATTATTATTATTTTGTAATCTTTGTTTTTTTGAGACAGGGTCTTGCTCTGTCGCCCAGGCTGGAGTGCAGTGGTACAATTGAGGCAGGAGAATAGAGTCTGGAGGCAGGGAACATAAGGCCAATTCATGCTGACTTCCTCGAGCTAAATCAGATGGAAACACTTCAGCTATGTTAGGAAATATCCTCTCCATTTACATAGGGTGTATGCTGAGTAAATGACTTTGTAACTTTACTTCATCCTCTTCATTTACATGGGGCATACATCAAGTAACCAGTGGAAACCTCTAGAGGGCATTTAAACCCCAGAAAATTCTGTAACAGGGCTCTATGCTCAGGCCTGCTCCCACCCTGTGGAGTGTACTTTCATTTTCAATAAATCTCTGCTTTTGTTGCTTCATTTTTTCCTTGCCTTGTTTGTGCATTTTGTCCAATTCTTTGTTCGAGATGTCAAGAATCTGGACTCTCTCCATTGGTAACACAATCATGGCTCACTGCAGCCTCGACCTTCCGGGCTCAAGTGATCTTCCCACTTCAACCTCCCAAGCAGCTGAGACCACAGGCACATGCCATCACGCCTGGCTAATTTTTTATTTTTATTTTTGTAGGGACGGGGTTTCACCATGTTTCTCAGGCTGGTTTTGAACTCTAGGCTCAAGCAATCCACCTGCCTTGGCCTCCCAAAGTGTTGGGATTACAGGTGTGAGCCACTGTGCCTGGCCACCGTAGTTTCTTTATCCATGCGTTTTTTTTTTGCTTTTTTTTCTCAAGTCAGTAACTTTTTAACAAAATGAGCAGAATCCCATCATAACAGTTCTTTGTTACATGAATTCAAATACACAGCAGACCAATCATGTTCCCTGAAATTTAACTATCATACTTAAAGGCCTGTTAGTGCTGTCCCTCAAGACTCTAATTCTAAAGGGCTTCCTTTGAATTCCCTTTATAAAGCTTTGTGCAAAGAGCTTAAGCACCAGTAAGAAAGACTGTTGCTAGCATTTTTATTTCATCATCAACAACAAACATGCAGTTTCTTTCTCTGATGTGCGTGGCACTGTAAAATGGGTGCTACACTCTGTCTTGTGGTACAAAGTTTATAAATACAATATACCGATACAAAGTTGAAGCCATTAAAAAGAGCTTAATAACAACCATGAGGAGACAATTACATCTGGAGTGCTGATGGAATCTATGAAGAGATTTAGAAACAAGACATAAACTCAAACACTACGGTAAAAGTTTTACTTGGGAAGGGGCCAGAGGGGAACTTTTTATGTGCTACTGAAAGATTTTTAAAGTTGCTCCAAATTTACTTTCTTTCTGCTATTATCTTTAAATACTGCAAAGTATTGTGAGCTGCATCACTTTGTGCATTGCCACAGGAGATACCGGAGCCATGACAGACCGTGATGGGGCCGGTGGACAGTTCGGCAAGACATTGATACTGTCCATTGGCGCGCAGTTCATCTATATCCAAATATGTTATATTTAAACCTTGTTCCTTGGCAATTTCACTAAGCAGCTGGATGTAATCTGTATTTGAAATACTAAGGAGGCTTCTTTTCAGTAAGTTGATCTTTTCACCAGGAGAATCCCTCAAGGAATGCCAAGTACATCCTAAAGAATGTCCCACTACATTTGTTAAAGAAATGTGGTTCTCTGGAGAAATATTACTAAATTTGGCAAGAAATTTCTCAGCAGCATTCCTTTTGGCTTGCTTTTTTGATGCCCCCTTTCCAGTTTCCATAAATGACTCTAGCCTGCAAACTGTGATATATTCTCTCTTATGACCAGGTCCTCCCTCCTGGGAAAGGGTATATTCAGGAAGTCTCCAGCCATGATGAACAGCCAATTCCTGTAATGAACCAATAGGATTAAGCTGGTTCTTTGGTTGCTTGGAAGGGTCAGGCATTAAGGGGTCAGGAACTGCAAAGCAAATACTTGCATTGTCTTTCAAAATGTTTATGGCAGCCTCTGCAGCTCTATGTTTCACCAGCTTCTTACTTGTACCTTCACCTCTGCAGGTTATGTCACCAACGGTTACTCTGAAGGTGAAAGTGGGCACGTGTATTTGCACATCAGATCTTTCACATTCATAAACTGGGATGTTCTTGGTCTTCATGCCATATTCGTGTAATACCTGAATCGGTGTTTTCCCTGGCATAGCTGTTATTATCTTCCCCAAACTGAAGGTCCCACTGTCCTCGCGCTCCAAGGGCAGGGCTTCGGCGGGTACCTGCTCTGGGACATGGCGAGAAGGGACTGCTCAGCGGCTGGAGGAAGAGCGGTGCAGAGCGACGTGCTTGCTTCCCGGGTTGCTGGTCCGCAGGAGGAGCTCTAGCGCCGCCGCCTCCTCCGTCTCCCCCTCTCCATTCGTTTGTTGATGGACGTGTACGTTGTTTCCATATCTTGGCTATTGTGCATGATGCTGCAGTGAATGTGGGAGTGCAGATATCTTTATGTGGTAGTGATTTCATTTCATTTGGATATATACCCAGAAGACAGATTGCTAGGTCTTATGGTAGTTCTATTTTTTTTCTTAAAAAAAAATTTTTTTTTCCTGACTACAAAGACTCAGAGGTCTTTCCAGTTCTCTGTTGATCCTGAGACTAACAACTGGAGACTGAGGCCAGAGCAGCTGGCAGCTGTGCTTGTCCGTTTCCTGTCAGAGCCATCCCAAGTTTCCTCCGGACCTGTCCCACGGTCCCTCCACAGGAGCGTGAGAGGATGGGGAAGCACTGTGGGGAGACCACCAAAGATGGCTGGACAGTGGGAGACAGCACCTCATGAAGCATCCCAGCCTCGTGTTGAGGTTCCAAACTTAGAAACAAACCCCTCTGTACAGGGGGATTGTGGGAGTGACAGTCAAGGCCATGGTGTGTGTTTTCTCACTCTCGAATGCAAGTGGAAGAGAGAAAATGACTCAGGACGCCATTGTAACGGTTCCTGGAAGCTGGACCCTCTCATTGGCATATACACTACTCCTCGCCGCAGGGCACAGTCCCACCGGGATCCACTTCCAAAGTTTGTCTGGACGGTTGAAGGCCTCGCTTAGTGGTACTGGATTCTCAGGGAGCCCTCTGTGGCCTTTGGCTTTGAGTGCTGTGTTTCCCTTTTACCGGAGGGCAGCATTGTGGAAATTCCTGTTTTCCCTGTAGCATATTCTGTTGGATTGCATTACTGGCTGAGAAAGGACAAGTTGCCATTCAAGTCTAGGGTAGGCTTCCAGCTACCTTAATAGAAGTACTCAAGTCTTTTGGGTAGTGAGCTGGAAAGCCTACAGGAAAAGACAGGCACGATTTTCATTTGAAAACTTTGATTCATGGAACCTTTAAACCTTTAAAACTAATCTCAGGGCCGGGGGTGGTGGCTCATGCCTGTAATCCCAGCACTTTGGGAGGCCGAGGCGGGCGGATCACAAGGTCAGGAGATTGAGACCATCCTGGCTAACACGGGGAAACCCCGTCTCTACTAAAAATACAAAAAATTAGCTGGGCGTGGTGGTGGGCGCCTGTAGTCCCAGCTACTCGGAGGCTGAGGCAGGAGAATAGTGTGAAACCTGCAGACGGAGCTTGCAGTGAGCTGAGATCGCCTCACTGCTCTCCAGCCTGGGAGACAGAGTGAGACTCCATCTCAAAACAAACAAACCAACCTAACCTCAGATAAATTTTTTGTGCCCATGAGGCTATAGTTGTTCACTGCTTTCCTGGATGGATGGGACTCTGATGTTGTAACTTCTGTACTCCTTTGGCCCATAGCTAAGGCCATCCTTCCCCACAGGGGTGGCTTTGGGATTGGATGCTACAGCTTTCGCTTCCGTGTAGTACACCTGTACATGCCTGTTTCAAGCAGCCTTTCTTTAATGTCTTTTGTTGGTTTTATTCTGTAGCTCAGTAGCCGGTAATAAAGTTAAAGATCCTGAAAAAAAATTTTTTTTCCTGACTACAAAGACCCAGAGGAGATGGTAGTTGTATTTTTTTTTTTTTTAATTAAGAAATATAGATGGGGTTGCCTAGGCTGGTCTTGAACTCCAGACCTTAAGCAGTCCTTCTACCTTAACCTCCCAAGAGTCTGGGATCACAGGCATGAGCCACTGCACCCTGCAGATAGCTCTGTTTTTAATTCTTTAGGAATCTCCTTACTGTTTTCCGTAATGCCTACACCAATTTATATTTGATTGTTGGGTTGTTTCTTCAGGACTCACTCTCTCCTGAGGCCCTAGGGGACTCTTAAGGAAGTGTGGTTAAAACATAATATCAGGAGGAAGCACTTCTGGAATGATGGAATAAACACTTCTGAAAATCTGCTCTTCTGTAAGAGCAGCAAGAACATCAGCAAAAATTGTCAATATCAAGTTTTTCAGAACTCTAGAAATTAACCAAAGGCTTACAGCAATCTGAAGAGTTTTTTCAAGAAAAGTGCTGGCTTTCGTAAGAACGGTGAGCTTTGTGGTGTTTTAACTTGTCCTATTTCCACCCCTTCTTCCTAGCTTTATGGTGGCCTTGAAACCAGCAGCCTTAGAACCATAGTCACTGAAAACCAGAGGCCTAGCAGCCATTGGACGTGGTAGAGTGGGTTTCAAGATCCCCAAAGACCTGGTTGCCAGAGAATTGTCACTATTCGACCTGTCTAGAAGATCCCTGGGAAAGCCTCATTCATAGGGCTTATCTTTATTTGGTCACTGAGGAAAGCCCTTTCCCCAGGGCATTGGTCAAATAATCAGTGGCAATTTAAAAATTGCAGTTGCGTGAGATAGTGATACACATTGGGGCAAAATCAGGCTGGCCAAACTCTTACAGAGAAAATCTGGGGATGTTCATAGGGAACTTGCAAAGCTCTTACTTATTCCTGGGGGTCTAGAAGGCAACACACATGCACGAGGTTGTGCACTTCTCACTTCTGGCTCACCTTAAAGCCCTGTGCAAGCAGCAAGTGAAGGCTAGGTCAGGGTAATGAACTGCTGGAGTATTGAAGGCATCACACACACACACACACACACACACACACACACACACATGCCCCTCAACACAGGGTGGGAGATTTAATGGTCAAAGGCATTTAAGGAAACCTGTTTCGGCAGTAGCTGACTGCTAAGCTAACCAAGCTGACACACGTGACAAAGAATACACAATTTACAGACTTAGTCCAGGAAAGTCACTAAACAAACACACACACGAGAGCAGCAATAGCAGCAGCAACAACAAACAGCAAAAACAAAAAGTCCTGAGGGAGTAGGAATCTGATTTCTGAAGTTGCCACAGTGTATTACTTAAAATACTGTGGTTCCCTACAAAGAACTCAAATAAATTTACAAGGAAAAAACAAACAACCCCATCAAAAAGTAGGCAAAAGATATGAACAGACACTTCTCAAAAGAAGACATTTATGCAGCCAACAGACACATGAAAAAATGCTCATCATCACTCGCCATCAGAGAAATGCAAATCAAAACCACAAGGAGATACCATCTCATACCAGTTAGAATGGCGATCATTAAAAAGTCAGGAAACAACAGGTGCTGGAGAGGATGTGGAGAAATAGGAACACGTTTACACTGTTGGTGAGACTGTAAACTAGTTCAACCATTGTGGAATACAGTGTGGCGATTCCTCAAGGATCTAGAACTAGAAATACCATTTGACCCAGCCATCCCATTACTTGGTATATACCCAAAGGATTATAAATCATGCTGCTATAAAGACACATACACACGTATGTTTATTGCAGCACTATTCACAACAGGAAAGACTTGGAACCAACCCAAATGTCCATCAATGACAGACTGGATTAAGAAAATGTGGCACATATACACCATGGAATACTATGCAGCCATAAAAAAGGATGAGTTCATGTCCTTTGTAGGGACATGGATGCAGTTGGAAACCATCATTCTCAGCAAACTATCACAAGAACAGAAAACCAAACACTGCATGTTCTCACTCACAGGTGGGAATTGAACAATCAGATCACTTGGACACAGGAAGGGTAACATCACACACTGGGGCTGGTTGTGGGGTGGGAGTAGGGGGGAGGGATAGCATTAGGAGATATACCTAATGTAAATGACGAGTTAATGGGTGCAGCACACCAACATGGCACATGTATACATAGTAACAAACCTACACGTTGTGCACATGTACCCTAGAACATAAAGTAATAATAAAAAAAAATTGTGGTTCCTGTGAAAGATGCCAGTGGCAACAGCTTTGCCATCCAGCTCTCCAACATTTTTGTTATTGGCAAAGGCAACAAACCATAGATTTCTCTTCCCTAAGGAAAATGTATCCACCTCACCATTGTCAAAGACAGGGACAAGAGACTGATTGATGGTCAAACAGAGCAGTGGGTAAAATGGTCTCTAGGTGACATGTTGGAAGGGTCTTTGCATTTAGTCAAAGATAATACAGTATGATTAGAAAATAAAATGTTGGCCAGGAGCGGTGGCTCACACCTGTAATCCCAGCACTTTGGGAGGCCGAGGTGGGTGGATCACCTGAGGTCAGGAGTTTGAGACCAGCCTGCCAACATGGCAAAACCCTGTCTCTACTAAAAATACAAAAAAATCAGCTGAGCATGGTGGCATGTGCCTGTAATCCCAGCTACTTGGGAGGCTGAGGCAAGAGAATCACTTGAGCCTGGGAGGCAGAGGTTGCAGTGAGCCGAGATCACGCCACTGCACTCCAGCCTGGGTGACAGAGCAGAACTCTGTCTCAATTAAAAAAAAAAAAAAAAAAAAAAAGAAAGAAAGAAAGCAATCAATGGGCTTGTTTCTCTGAGAACTCTGAGAAAGCTCAGATGTTGGACTTACTAGACGACAATATTTCCTTATAATCCTCTCTATTTCTGTAAGATCAGTAATGATGTCCCCTCTTTCATTCCTGATTTAATTGGACTCTTTCTCTTTTTTTTTTCTTAGTCAGTCTAGTTAAGAGTTTGTCAACTTTGCTAATCTTTTCAAAGAATGAACTTTTCATTTTGTTGAATTTTTCTCTATTGTTTTTCTATTTTCTCTCTCTTCCTTCCTTCCTTCCTCTTTCTTTCTTTCTTTCTTTCTTTCTTTCTTTCTTTCTTTCTTTCTTTCTTTCTTTCTTTCTTTCTTTCTCTCTCTCTCTCTCTCTCTCTCTCTCTCTCTCTCTCTCTCTCTCTCTCCCCCCCTTTTTTTTTTTTTGAGACAGCCTCACTCCATCACCCAGGCTGGAGTGCAGTGGTGCAGTCTTAGCTCATTGCAACCTCCACCTCCTGTATTCAAGCGATCCTCTCACCTCAGCCCCACAAGTAGCTGGGACTACAGGTGTGTACCACCATGCCCTGCTAATTTTTGTATTTTTAGTAGAGACGGGATTTTGCCAT